CAGGACCGGCTCCAACATCCTGGACTCCTCCAGCAGGTGCAGGAGCGTCAGCAGCCTGGTGGAGAAGATCCAAACTGGATTAGAGGTGCAGCATCCCAGTTACTCACCACTGGGACCACTTTAACGTGTTTAAGGGAGGAACAGGCGAGTTTGTTAGAGTTAAACACAGAAACCACGTGAAATAAACTCTAGAACAACATTCACGAAGGGACAAGATAATTCCAAGAGCAGGAAGCTCTCCTAACTAAATATCTTATTTAATTAGATTTCCTCTTATTTAATATTTTTCTGAAGCTCGGGGGAAACTCGGAGGAGGAGATGATTCCAGAGCAGCCGTATGATCTGGAGAACGCCCTCCGTAGCTCTGAGACGCCAAGCTAACGAGATGATGGAGAAAAGTTGAAATGAAACCTAAATAAGAAAATTAAATGATGTCACCGAGGCTTCACGCCGCAAACGTCCAGGAACCGAGGTGAAAGTGTTTAAAGCTGTCTTCCCGTTTCCTTCTGTGTGCAGCTGCAGGATCCGGCGAAGGACTCGCGCGTGTCTGAGCTCATCGATGTTTATGAACAGAAACTGGCTGCTTTCGTGGTTCGTTCACACCCACAGACACGCTTAAACATGAATGTTTGTGTGCTTTTACTGGTTCGTCCGATGTGACGGGACTTGTTTTCATCCTCAGTCGAAGGAGAGCCGTCTCCAGGACCTGCTGGAGGCCAAGGCTCTGGCGCTGGCTCAGGCCGACCGGCTCATCGCTCAGTACCGACTACAGCGAGCTCAGGCTGAGGCCGAGGTAAGCGGGCGCGTTGAAACCCCCACATCCCCCACGGGGGTGACGCCCACGGAGGCCACGCCCACGGGGGCGACGCCCACGGAGGCCACGCCGCCTGAAACCGTTCCAGAGTTCCACAAGAACACGAATAAAGTTTTACTCGTCATTTAAAATCTGATTTAAGGGTTTTTTGCTACACGAACAACATAATCTCTGAATCTGAGATTATTCTCAGCCTTTACATCAACGGCATGAGTTCAGTTAACCTTTGAAAGGAGGGACCAAAGGTCAAAGGTTAAACGCTGTTTATGTTTCTGGGATCTGGAAGAGCTGCGGCAAATAAAACTGAATCCAGCAGTTTGTGGTAACTTAAAGCCAGGATCCGTCTGGGATTCCTCTCGAGTCGCAGCGTTTTGATGTTCGGCGACCTTTGACCTCGCTGGTTTGTGCCTTCAGGCCCGGAAGCTGGCGTCTCTGCTGAAGGACGCTGAGCGGCGCCGCGAGGACCTGCAGGGCGAGCTGAGCAGCCAGGTTCTGGAGGTGGAGCGATCCAGAGCCGACATGGAGGAGCTGCTGCAGCACAACGCCAGGCTGCAGCGGGACTCTGAAGAGCACCAGGCCCTCAAAGGAGCCTACAACGCCTTGCTCAACAGGTCAGAGGCAGACTTTGTTGGATGTTTCTAAAGTAACAGGAAGAAGTCAGATGAGTTTGTTTTTTTAGGTTTAATGAGACGGACAGTCTGCTGAAGGAGCTGCAGACGGCTCACGTCTCGCTCTGCAAACAGAACGAAGCTCTGAGGAAGAACCAGGAAGTTCTCCAGCAGCAGCAGGACAGGTGAGCATCACACCTGCAGGAAAAGCCTCTTCCCAGTTCACTCAGCATGAAGGAAACTTGGATTTTTCCGTTTGTCTTTCAGGCTCGCCTCGGTGCTGGAGGAGAGGGAGCAGGAGGTCCGGTCCCTCCAGTCAGACGTGCAGAAGAAGAACGATGACATCACAGGTCTGATTTAAAAGCGCCGCTCACCGTGAGGTTTAACGTTGTTGCTTCTGCAGAAGCACCAGAGACAGGTCATCAGACAGGGTCAGCAACGGTGTGGGTGGAGGGAGCAGGTCTTAGTTCTGAGGGTCTGTGCTCGTTTCCTGTCAGGTCTGCTCGCTCAACTCCGAGCTAAAGACGAGAAACTGGAGGAAAAAGACCAAGAAAAGAAAGATCTGGAGGAGACGGTGGACGTTTTAAGGAAGGAGCTGAACAAAACCGAACAGGCGCGGAAGGACGCCAGCATCAAGGTAAGGAACAGGATCAGGTGTCTGAACAGGAAACGGATAAAAGACGGGTGTCAGCGTCTTCTGGTGAACGTCTGGCTTCGTAACAGAACTAATCTGTAGAACAGGAAATGAGGCTTTTATTTTGAAACCTCATGCGTGACCTCCAGGGTCCGTCCTGGCAGAGGCCCAGGTGCATGCTGGGATTGATTCAGACTTCTAATCTGGTGTGTGGTTAGCTTTGATGTTGACATGACGAGCTGTCGTCTCTGCTGCAGGCGTCCTCTCTGGAGCTGCAGAAGAGTCAGCTGGAGACCAAGTTGAAGCAGAAGGAAGAGGAGCTGAACAAGCACTCCGCCATGATCGCCATGATCCACAGCCTCAGCAGCGGGAAGGTCAAGAGCGACGTCAACCTGTCGCTCTGAGGAGCTCGGCGCCACCGGCACGAGGAGAGGCTCGAGATGGACTTTAGAACTCTTCTAATGAAACTCGTGTTATCCAGCAGAAGCTGTACTTTAAGTGTGTGAGAGGTTTTTATTGTTGAGTGAATAAATGTTGTCATTCTGGATCCTTCAGTCCAGCGTGAACGTGTGAACGCTCTCTTGTCTTCAGCCGCTCAGGTGAGGGCGGCTCTGAAGCAGATGGTCTGAAGTCCAAAAACAAAAGTTTCATTATATAAATATCATTCAGTAAACGAACAAAGCCCCGACCTTCAGAGACCAGGAGGTGGCGTCTGGGTGCGGCTGGAGATCTCCGATCCGGTCATGGGCGGTTCTGCCAGGTTTAGGATCCTCAGGGTTTCATCTCTGCTTCTGAGGATCATGTGGTTCTGTTGGAGGAGAGATAGACCACCGGATCAGTCTGCAGTAAGGAAGGGGCCGGAAGACAACCCTCTGGATGTTCTGATGCTTCTCTGTTCCACCTCCACCCATGTTCTTGGGTTTTACCTTCCAGATAGGAGGAGCTCTATCAACCTGGAAGGGCTGGGAGCAGAGCTGCTGCTCCAGGAGTCGACTCGGGTGGATCAGGATCAGTTCTGGAGACCCACAGCAGAGCTGGAGGTCACTGGAGGGACCCTAGATCCTCTTGGGCTGCAGAACGTCATAGGATTCCCCAGGAGGATCCGGGAAGTGTTTCTGTGGAGAGGCAGGTCCAGGTGGCGTTCCTGGATCTGTTTGCTTCCCATCCTGACCGGAAATGTTCACAGTTCACTGACCTGAGGAGGAGGAGCAGGAGGAGGAGAGCGGCTGCTCCCGTTTCTATTTTCTCCTCCGTCTGCTTCTGCAGCTGCTCCTCGTCACTCAGCCTGAAGGTCGGAGGAGAAAGGCCTCGGGTTTTTCCTGCCAGGCGGTCATGGAGCTCCGACGCTCCGCTTTGGTCTCCGTTCTTCTGCTCTCGCTCTTCTCAACCGGTGAGTCCAGAAGCTTCGATTCGAACCAAAACTTAGTAAACGTGTTTTTTGTTTGTGACATGAAGATGTCTAGAACCTGCCCGTGCTCCGGCTCACGGTTATAAACATAATCCTCTTCTATGTAAACAAGAACAACACGTTTCTGTTTGTGTAAAACCCAAAATCCAGTCCTTTCCTCTCGACGAAGCTGGAAAACAAATCAGATACATAAATCAATAAAATATGGAAACATTTGATGAACATAATCTTACGTAATTTTATTTTTATTACGTTAAACATATTAGTTTAAAAAGCTTATTGCACCAAATTTATTCTTAAAAAAAAAACATTTTTTCTGTCATAACATTAACCCCCAAAACCAAAGTAATAGTAATAATATTAGATAATAAACCAATATTTGGAAATCACAGATTTAATAAAAAGAAACGATTTGTTAAAACAACACTCATGAAATAAACTTTGATATTTTATCGTGTACTTCTACTACAGCAGTACTAGTGTTGTACTCCAGGGTTCCATACAGAAGAACGTCTCCGCGTCTAAAATAATCATTAAGTTTTAATTAAATAGTCAAACTAACTTTGTGTTTCAGAACGGGTTAATAGATGAGTTACGCTGCTTCATGAGGAACAAAACGGTGAATCAGGAGTTTGTGTTCGAGCTGCAGAAGAACTCAGAATCTGATCTGTAGAACAGCTGCTCACCGAAACACGAGCACACACACACACACACACACGCACGCACGCACGCGCACACACACACACACACACACACACACTCTGTTTCTATCTCTGTGTGTGTGTGTTTATTTAGTGGTACTCTGGTATTTTGTGGTACTTTGTGGTATTTAGTGGTACTCTGTGGTGTTTGGTTGTACTCTGTTGTATTTTGTGGTACTTGTGATATTTTTTGGTACTCTGTGGTATTTTGCTGTTCCTGTGTTATTTAGTGGTACTCTGTGGTACTTAGTGGTACTCTGTGTTATTTTGTGGTACTTGTGGTTTTTTGTGGTACTCTGTGGTATTTGGTTGTACTCAGTAGTATTTTGTGGTACTTGTGGTATTTAGTGGTTCTCCATTGTATTTTGTGGTACTTGAGCTATTTTGTTGTACTCTTTGGTATTTAGTTGTACTTAGTGGTATCTAGTTGTACTTGGTGGTATTTAGTGGTACTCTGTGGTATTCAGTGGTCCTCTGTGATATTTTGTGGTACTCTGTGGTACTTAGTGGTACTCTGTGGTATTTAGCTGTTTCTGTGTTATTTAGTGGTACTCTGTGGTACTTAGGGGTACTCTGTGTTATTTTGTGGTACTTGTGGTTTTTGTGGTACTCTGTGATATTTAGTGGTACTCTGTGGTATTTGGTTGTACTCAGTAGTATTTTGTGGTATTTAGTGGTTCTCCATTGTATTTTGTGGTACTTGAGCTATTTTGTTGTACTCTTTGGTATTTAGTTGTAGTTAGTGGTATTTAGTTGTACTTAGTGGTATTTAGTTGTACTTAGTGGTATTTAGTGGTACTCTGTGGTATTCAGTGGTCCTCTGTGGTATTTTGTG